ACAAATTGCAGAATTGAAAGATCGAGTTGAAAAACTCGAAGCTATCATTCAACACTAAAGACTGTTGATCAACATGCAGCACAGGATGAATCCACTACTGTGCGAATCAAAACTTGTTGCTTGCACTACATGATGCAGTTTGAATGATGCACATCTTTTGCATTGCACATTGAGCGTGAATATTCATACGATGTTGACCGCAGCCATTTAAGACCAGCTCGTTGTGATACCATCATGGAGCGACGCACTCGATCCAGATCTCCACGTGCAGCGGAATGGAGATGGCATTGGGCCACCAACGGCTCTTCATGGTGGCGAGAATATTTTATCGCCTCTCAAGAGTGGATTCGCAACCACTCACAAGCACAAGATCGACGTGCAACTTCCTCCGGCACCACTATGCAGGAGGTGGAATCCGACACCACCACACCTACTTCCAACAAGAGAAAGAGATCTCGCACTCCATGAGTACCAGAATGAGTTGATAATTCATTGCACATTTGCTGCTTACAGCAGTCACATTACACAGCAAAGCTGTACTTGCACATCTATTCAAGACAAGATGTGGAACCCTCTTTAAGAGCATCAACAAACAATCCGCTTTGCAATTCTTCCATGTTGGCATTAGACTTGTATTGCGACCCAATCACACATCACATGTTACTCGATTGCCTTCCGCAGCCATTTATTCACTTATACATAGGCAGTTGCTATGGCATCACCACAGGAAGGTGACGACATCAGCTCTTGGGGATCCAACGAACTAGAGGCCTTCCTTGCAAAAGACGCCTCACAGCATCTATCGACGTCAAGTAACACCTTGGCGATCAATGCAAGCGGCGGTACAACAACGCCGACTACTATTGACAGAACAACCACAACTGGCTCTACAGCCAAACGCTCATCTTGCCACAAGAAGCCAAAGAAAATTAAAATAGTTGACAAAAAGACCAAGAAGAAGAAAGACAAGAAACGAAAGCAACCACTTACTACAGCGGCTTCAGTATCACCTACAAGGAAACAACATCATAGACAGCGGAAGACAACAAGGCGAAGGAGAACACCCTCCCCGCGCTCAACGTCATCAGCTTCACCTACGGCAACATCAAACAAAGTCGATGACCGTTGCCGCTCACCTTCTCGTGAGCCTTGGTCTTCAGACTCTATTGCACCTTACGACATGGTGCATCCACCTATTATGTACAAGCGTTCTAACACTGCTTGCGCTAAGATGCTCGTACGAGCGGGATACAGATGCCGTTGTCATTTTAAGGTGCTGAGCGAATGTCCTTCCAGGTCAGCCTTAGGACCGTGACAATTTTCCTGAGACCTTGGAGCACCGAGGCCCGAAGATGTGCAGAAAAAAACCGATGCTTCTCCACACATCGTTGTGACACTCTCTCTCTCTCTCTCTCTTGATTCACCTTATGCTTGTTTGCCTGACTTGTCGGAGCATTTTTCAGACAGTAGCAGCCACCCTGCTTACACCATGCCAAAGCGAAAGGCTACTGAAGCAGGCCTTCCATGGTACTCTATGCGTGGTCAGTGTTTCCGGATGACGGTTGAAATACCACCTGACCGCATCACCAGGGACAAACATATGTCCATACATGTGGTGCTTTGTCTTGGCGATAACGTGCTTCAAGCACGGAAGATCTTCTCCTATCGCATTAAGGAGATCACCGGAAGAACACCAGAAATTTCTGCGTTCTTCTTCGAACAAAACCGACGGCGATTACATGATTGGGATTCGATCACTACTTTGGCCACTTTGTTGCCAGTGCTTTTCGTTAGGACAATTTCCGATCAGGAATTGAGACAGGCACCTGGACGTTGCTGATGGCGATAAAAGAGCGTCCTTCTTTCCTTTCATTTGACTGCTTCACGTTGTCCACCTCCAACAGCAATATGAAGCCCCAACAGGGGCTGTGTGTGTGTGAACCTCCCTAGCACATGGGAGCAGAGGGTCACTCCTTATTGCTTGCATTTTCACAGCATTTTCAACAAAACACATGTGGACGAATACTATAACATGTGCAGGGGGGCAGGACATCTTTAGCAGTGCCTGCCCAACGAAGAGGCTGCTAAGAGATGCTGATGCGACAGAGGACGCTCTGTTGTGTACCTGCAAAACACAGCTGAGGCCCCTGAGCCAGCAAGATTAGAAGGCCCCTGTGCCAAGATTAGAGAGTTTTCAGTTGCCACATTTGTTGGTTGATTTGACAGCAAACAAGTACAACATACCTCTCTTTTTCCTCTTGCATTCGTACTCTTGGCCGAATCAGTCAGTGTGTCTGTGTGTGTGTGTCTGTGTCTGTGTGTGTGTGTGTGTGTCTGTGTCTGTGTCTCTGTGTCTGTGTGTGTCTGTGTCTGTGTGTGTGTCTCTGTGTGTGTCTCTGTGTGTGTCTCTGTGTGTGTCTCTGTGTGTGTCTCTGTGTGTGTCTCTGTGTGTGTCTCTGTGTGTGTCTCTGTGTGTCTCTGTCTGTCTGTGTGTGTCTCTGTGTGTGTCTCTGTGTGTGTCTCTGTGTGTCTCTGTGTGTCTCTGTGTGTCTCTGTGTGTGTCTCTGTGTGTCTCTGTGTGTCTCTGTGTGTCTCTCTGTGTGTCTCTGTGTGTCTCTGTGTGTGTCTCTGTGTGTGTCTCTGTGTGTGTGTGTCTGTGTGTGTGTGTCTCTGTGTGGGTCTGTGTGTGTCTCTGTGTGTGTCTCTGTGTGTGTGTATCTGTGTGTGTCTATGTGTGTGTCTCTGTGTGTGTGTCTCTGTGTGTGTGTGTCTATGTGTGTCTCTGTGTGTGTCTCTGTGTGTGTGTGTGTCTGTGTGTGTGTGTGTGTGTCTGTGTGTGTCTGTGTGTGTGTCTGTGTGTGTCTGTCTGTGTGTCTGTCTGTGTGTCTGTGTGTGTCTGTCTGTGTGTCTGTCTGTGTGTCTGTCTCTGTGTCTGTCTCTGTGTCTGTCTCTGTGTCTGTCTCTGTGTCTGTCTGTGTGTCTGTCTGTGTGTCTGTCTGTGTGTCTGTCTGTGTGTCTGTCTGTGTGTCTGTCTGTGTGTGTGTCTGTCTGTGTGTGTGTGTGTGTGTCTGTGTCTGTGTCTGTGTCTGTGTCTGTGTCTGTGTGTGTGTGTGTGCGTGTGCGTGTGTGTGTGTGTGTGCGGTTACGTGCGCGTTTGCTTGAATGTGTTTTTGTAAGCTTGTGTTGTTTTGTGTTTGTTTAGTTGCTCAAAAGTTTAGGTGGTCGGGTGGGTGGTCTGTGTTTGGGTGGGTAAGTTGGTTGGTAGCTTGGTAGCTTGGTAGCTTGGTAGCTTGGTGGCTTGGTGGCTTGGTGGCTTGGTTGCTTGGTTGCTTTGTTGCTTGGTTGCTTGGTTGCTTAGTTGCTTGCTTGGTTGCTTGATTGCTTGGTTGCTTGGTTGCTCGGTTGCTCGGTTGCTTGGTTGCTTGGTTGGTTGGCTGGCTGGCTGGCCGCTTGGTTGGTTGTTTGATTGCGTGTTTGTTTGTGTGCTTGCTTGTCCGCTCGCTTGTATGCTTGCTTGCATGCTTGCCTGCATTCATGCTTGTTTGTTTGCTTGCTTGCCTGTTTGTCCGTGTCTGTGTGTGTGTGTGTGCACGTGCTTGTGTGGTTGTGTGCTGCTTTGTTTGCTTGTTTGATGGTTTGCTTGGTTCCGTGGTTGCTTTGCTTGTGTTTGAGTGATTGCTTGTTTACTTGTTTGTTTGTCTTGTCTGTGGTTGCTTGTGTTTCTGTGTGTGTGTGTGTTTGATTTTGCTTGCTGATGCTTGTGTTTGTTCGTTTTGCGTGTGTTTGTTTGTGGTTGGTTGTTTTTGTTTGTTTTTGTTTGTTTTTTGTGATGTTTGTTTGTTTGGTTGCGTGGTTTGGCTTGGTTTGCTTTGTTTTGGCTCGCGTTGCTTTAGTTTGGTGTGGCTTGATTTGGTTTGAGTTGGTTTGGGGGTTGGCTTGTTTGTTTGTTTGTGTGTGTTTGTGTGTGTGTGTGTTTGTGTTTGTGTGTGTGTGTTTGTGTGCTTGTGCGTGCTTGTGCGTGTTTGTGTTTGTGTGTGTGTGTGTGTGTGTGTTTGTGTGTTTGTGTGTGCGTGTGTTTGTGTGTGTGTTTGTGTGTGTGTGTGTGTTTGTGTGTGTGTGTGTCTGTGTGTTTATGTCCTTTGTTGTCTGCTTGTTTGTTTGTGTGTTTTGTTTGTTTGCGTGTTTGTGTGGCTGTCTGTTTGTATCTTTCTGCGCTTGTTTGTTTGCTTGTCTGTTGTTTGTGCGTTTGTTTGCGTGTTTGCGTGGTTCTTTGTGTGTTTGTGTATGTGTTTGTTTGCTTGCGTGCCTGCTTGCTTGTATGTGTGCTTGTGTGCCTGTGTGGTTGTAAGTTTGTTTGTCTGCTTGCTTGCTTGCTTGCTTGCTTGCTTGCTTGCTTGCCGGCGTACTTGCTTGCTTGCTTGATTAGTGATTTAGTTGCTTGTTTCGCTATTTGGTGGTTTGCTGGTGCGTTGTGTGTTTGTGCTCTTGCTCGCTTGTTGCTTTTATTTGTTTGTTGTTTGTGTGTCTGTCTCTTTGTTTGATTGCTTGCTGTTTGTTTGTTTGACAGATTATTTTTCGCTCGTTTGTTTGTCTGCTTGTTCTGTGTGTGTGTGTGTCTGTGTGTGCGTCCCTGTGCGTTTCTGCGCGACTGTCTGTGTGCTTGTCTGTGTGTCTGTATGTATGTGTGTGTGTGTGTCTCTGCGAGTCTCTGTGTGTGTCTCTGTGTGCGGTGTCTCTTTGTCTCCGTGTGTCACGTCTCTGTGTGTGTGTGTGCGTGTACATTTGTTCGTGCGTGTGCCTTAGCAGCGGGTTCTGACGTTCTGACACAGGGTCTGCGAACCTGCTGTCAACGAATGGCTAGTTTGTGATTACAAGCGCATAAAACGCTCACATCTCCACCCAGCCATAGCCTTGAGGTGGTCCTACACCAGCTCTATTGCAAGACCAAGCACTGAACAGCAGGAGTTGCTGCGAGCAACAGTCTCACGCATGATCTGACATCACCACCTCTTCAGGAGCTTCTCCGAAAGCTGGAACGGAATAGTGTTTGTGCACTTCGCCTCCACACTGCAACGTCGACACGAGGGATACTAACCTTAAACTGCGCTGCCGAGTTGCAGAGCCCCAGAGCTGAATGTACCGAGTCGAGTTGTAGCAGACTTGGCAGACAGATGAAGAATATGGACCCGAGGTCATATGATACCTGAGCTGCGCCGAAACGATGAAACGAAGCGCACCTGCTGCCAAATCACTCTCTCGGGCATACAGGCAGCATGCAGGGCTTCGAGACTTTGGGATTCGACTCGCCTGTAAACTCTAGATCCTAAGCCGGGGCCCAAGCAACGTTCCCCGTGACTGTGTGCGATTTCTTCCGAACGTGGTGGCGAATTATCTGATGAGGACTTCATGGCATGCACGGTCGGGTAAGGCCCTTAGGATGCAAGAATCGACAAAGACACGAAAACAACGACGACAATGAGGACCCCGGCCATTGCGAGCGTGTTTCTAGTCGGCCACATCTAAGAAGACACGGCCTGCTTAGAGGCTTGACGTCGTCGAATCAGCAACCTCTTCGGGTGACAAAACAAGCTGGGATCATGTGGCGGCTGGGTTTGGAACATCAGCCTCTTTAATGCGTTCTTCTCCTTATTCAAGCCGGTACCAAAAAAAGCGGCGGTCTAATCAATGCCCTTTTTTGTGGGATGTTTGGGGGGTGACTGTCCTGACCTGAACCCTCGCATCCTCGATGGTGGAGGGGAGTGTAGGCTGTAAGGAACAGTCTTCAAAATGAAGGGTTTTTAATCTTGGTAGTTAGCTTGGAATGATCGGGGCTTGGTTTCGAGCATTTGGTGATCCCGACCCTGACCCAGGCATCCGCGGAGAACCGCAGTCCCCAAACCTTCCGGACCTTCCAATTGCCTTTTCATAATCAAAGCCACCCAGACCCTGACCCCGGTCCGAAGGGTCACTGACACCAGATTATTCAAGCTAAAACTTTTGGTCCCGGGGGGGGGGGGGGGGGTAACTGTTCAAACCGCAACATTACCTTGAGTGGCACTGCATCCAAGGCACCCACCACTCTTATAGAGCCTCTCGTCCTTAGTCACCCTAGACTTCCGCTGCTTACTGCTGTATGACACGACGACTCGAAAGCTGGAAGTCAAGCATTGACGTTAAAATAATGCTAATTTCACATCTTGGCCGATCTTCGCAGCCCAGAAGACCCTGATGCCCGGAAAACAAGCCCTGACGCGATTGCCACAGGATGCTTTCCGCTTGAAATCCATGTTAAAAAACCTGAATCAACAACTGCTCGCCATACCTTACGGGTTCCCGAAGGCTGCAAATCAATGACAACTCTGCCATGCGAAGCAACACTCCTATCTGCAAGGGAAGCGACGGCCTTTGCAACTTTGAGGTTGTAGGTGGGTTTGCCCCCGGGATAGCAAGAGCAGTAGTGGCGGAATGCCGCATCTTTGGCACCAGTCAAGGGCTCGTCGGGATGCTTGTCCATCCTGGAGCTACGCGGCTACATGATCCGGCCCTCCACTGCACTAGTCTTGCCACAACGCCCCCACCATCAGTGGATCCAAGCTTGAGATCAGTTGCTGTGCCGTCTCCTCCCAAGGTTCGATTCTCCAGCCCCGAGCTGCAAATGCATACCTCGGTGCCGACTTCAATTGCCGCACAAGGCTACTTCTTGCTCTTCTTACTCGTCATTGAGCCAGGTGCTGCATGGCAAAGTCCGATGAAAAAATCTCTTTGCTCAATCTGTCACCTGCTGCCAAAGTATCCATTGACTGGCAGGCAGGGCACATGCTCTGTACGGCAGTTCTTGCTGGCGCCTAGATAGTTCCAGTCCAGCTTCATCATGCTCTGATCGGACAGGGCATCCTCGGACTGAGAGTGTCACGACCCTGTTCCAAGTCAGACGACGCGCATTCGGCCTGCCTCCCAGTATCTCCCTAGTGTCCCGTGACTACCAATACCGGGCAGAGCACATTACATGAACCCAGCAACCAGAGCTGCTACAACGCGAATCAAGCTGCCAGCACTGCCTCGCGCCGAAAGTATGCCTGGGCATCTTGTGGTAGCCGATCTGTGCAGCTACATTCATGCACCAATTGCAAGGAGCAAGATGGCAAGATTCATAGAAGCTCTGCTTGTAACAACTCGGACATATTCTGAACACAGGATCATCAAAGGCCTCTCACTGCTTCCGAGGGACGCCTCCACACAGCCCTGAAGACATGCTCTTCCTAGGCCGGGTGCGAAGAGCGGACTGTGTGGCATGGAGGGTGGAGGGCACAAAAGACAAACGGCTGAGGTCGGGCTCGCAACCGAAACCGCGCCGAAGCCCATGCGCAGGCGTGCTCCGTTGCTGTCACGCAGTTTCTTCGCATGGACGCGTCAGCAAGGAAACCGTTACTGCTAGCCAGCCCAAGTCTGTGCGCTGCAAACTGTGCACGGCCATGGAGAGACCTCAAAGCCGTGCGCTAGGTCACTACGTGGGCTTGACTTGCGAGAGTAAACTCTTCTTCGGGTTTGAGACTGAGAACAAGCTCCCGCCGTCGGCCTGTAGCCGTGTATGCATGTCGCGCACATAAACACGCACCTTCATGTTAACTCGCATATTTAGCATGTACACACACACACACACGCACGTCACATATATCCTCAACATCACCTGCACATCCTGAAACCACGGAATACCATAGACAAAGTGCTGCGTCCACTTGAACCCAGGACTTCGTTGTTGTGCCATCTTCTCCTTAGCCCGTGTAGTTCAGAGTGTGGATGCGCTCGTTCGACAGAGCCTGCCAAGAGACCACATACCGAACCAAACCGAAGCTGCGGCCCTGCCTCAGTCGACAGCCAAAGCACGTGTGGCTGCACATGCTGCAAACCGGGAAGCTTTCATTGCAGGCATGATGCACCAGTAATCCTCCAAGGTCAGCCCCAGGGGGCCGTTTCGGGTATCCATGACTGCACAGCAGGAGACATGTTTAGAATCTCGGCAGTGCGGGTATGCCTTTCTTGCAGCCCGGTAACATGGTATTGTCAGGTTCCAGCATGATGATGTACTTCACGGCCAAACCTGAGCATGGTGGCGCTTTCAACACTTCTAAAAGCCGCGCCATACATTCCCAGACTCGCATCATCTCGCATCAGCACCCCCGCCATCGTCCTTCAGCCCGGATCATCGTCATCATCGGCAGCAGCAACAGGGACAACAGCGGCAGCACCAGCATGAGCAGCAGCAGCAACACCGCCAACAACAACAAAAAAAACAAGAGCAACAGCAACCGCCACCACCGCCGCCGCCACCACCACCGCCACCACCTTCACCACCACGACAACAACAAGCGCGACAACAGCAGCAGCAGCAGCAGTAACGTAACGACAACAACAACAATTTTATTGGACGCTGAGCGAGCGGGCTCTGCTCATTGCGGGCGAGCAGAAACTTCGGAAGCGTGCCATCCCCGAGTGTGCCGTGAGCCAGCGCCACCGAGGTGAGCCATAAGCCAGCACCATTCCCTTAGAATCTGACCTGCCGACATTCTTATAGAGGTTACGCGGTCTTCGCCCGGCGGCCTTGTAAAGAAAAAGAAACAGACTGGCGCTTTGCGCGAGGGGACTGCCCATGCGAGAATCGCAGGTACCTCCTTCATCCGTTTCTGAGAACTACGACCGAAGTCAGGCCCCGAGGCCTCGCGTAAAACAAGCCAAAACGAACTGACCTAACAAAACCAACAGAGAAGACCGCGCAACCCCTATAGGATCCTCAGTGAAGGAAAAAGAGGAGCCGATGCTACAAACGTTAAAAGAGAAAGGGCCTAAGTCAAGAAGAGCAGCGCTGCAGACTGTACACAGCAGCAACAGCTCTTGGGCACCAGCCTCTAGGGGATAGGCCACAAGAAGTTGACTTCAGTTACAAAGGCGTTGCCCGTTTTTACGCGAGCGATGCCCGAAACTCCTAACGTGACAGCCCGACTCACAAAGTCGTCGTCATGTAGCCTCCGTCACCCTCAGTGTGAGTCATTGCGTCCAATACTCACGAACTGGCAGCCGGTGGGTCGTACTCAGAAGAGCCGTCTCCCAGAGTTCCCGTCTAGTGGCGTCCCACACTAGGTAACTCCCGACTACCAGCGATGGGCCGTAAGGATAATTCGTCGTCAAGCAAAAACACGTGGGCCGTCACTCCTAGCACTGCCTGACCCCGTCGGTAACAGGACAGTAACGAACACACCTGGGAGGGCCGTAGCCGTAGCCCGACACCCATAGCACAGCAAGCGCGTCCGCTTAACGACTGTACCCAGATGTGACGTGGAGCCGTACCAGGTAGACACCGTGCTGGAACTGAAGACGTTGGCCAACTCTGCTGAACCTGAGTCCCCAGTGTCCCAATCTGCGCCTTGTCTCCCTGGAATGCCCGTCGGGGCCAGCATTGGGAGGATGCTGACGCGTTGTGAGTCACCACGTTGCGCCTAGCCTGTCCTGAGTCTGACTTGCTCCCAGGCGCTGGCGGCTGAACAGAAGTGAAGCGCAGAAAACTCTCAACCGTGACGAAGAACTCTCGATCGCACTGGCTTCGTAGCAGCTGGTGGCAGTCCACTGTGCCGTTGAAGGAAAAACTAGTGCTCGAAGAAGACTGCATGAGAATACCAGACGATCCGTGTCCTTCTTGCGGAGGTGTACCAGTTAAAGCGCAAAACCAGAGCGCCAGCAAAACTGCGCAGGAGAGACCGTGAGCTGTACCTGGGTGTCTTGTCGTGTAGCTGGAAAGTCGAAGAGAGGAGCGGAACGAGGCCTCAACTCGAAAGCTTCCTTCAGGATACCCAGGTGCAGAAGATGGCCAACCCATGACTGGGGCCGCCCCTTGAATGGCTTGGTGCGGCAGGTCCTTTTGTAAATGTAAACGCATCGGCAGGAGAAAAGTACTGAGGCACAGTCGACGCGCCTTCCGCTAGTTTCGCCGGAAAGAGAGAACTCGATCCGACTCCCTTCACCCCGCGGAAAGGTGAGAACCCTACCGCTTACCTCTTGCCAAGGTTGTATAACTGCAGACAGAGGCCCGGGAATTGGGACCCGGTAGAACACAGCGGCGCGCGGCTCCGGGAATAGCTATGGCTCAATAAGAGGACAGTCCCTTAAGCTTCGCAGAAGGGGGCCGTTGCGAGCCTCTAGCGTTGGTACCCAGAGCCTTGTTAGCAATGCTACACAGCCTGCTGTGATCCATAGCGGCTACAACAACAACAACAACAACAAGAAGAAGAAGAACAACAAGAACAAGTAAGAAGAAGAAGAACAACAACTACTACTACTACTACTACTACTACTACTAAAACTACTACAATTTCAATTGGAAGCCGTGATACGCCGTGCGAGCGGGCTCAGCACGTTGCGGGCGGTTGTCGCATGTATCGCTCAGTCGTCCCCCATAAATATAAAGGGTCCAACGCAAGCTTTGTCCTCTTCGCCATCTTTAGCCTGACTACGCTGCGACCCTCCTCCTTACAATCGCTCTAACACTGTCACCAGCACCGTCGTCGACATTATGTCCATCCTGGACGTCGCAATCCACCTCCTTTGACATCATTCGCATCTTCAGCCTCAAGGACATCCTCATTCCCCCCATCACCATAAGCATTGCGAATGACGGATGCAGCCGAAAGGGCTTGCATGTCGACAGCAGAGAGCACCACAACCCACACAAACCCAACCTCTTGGGCAAAAGATGCCAAAAGGCACCGTTCGTGGTTGACTTTACCGCGACATCCCGGATTGAAACTGTTCTGCCGTTCAGCCTCATGAGCACCAGCAAACAAGCATAGCTTCCACGTGCAAGCTAGAGCTTCAATCGCACATGCACGCCCGCCCTTCGTGCCATCAAACTTCGGCTTCGATCTTGTGTTTGTCTCCTGTTCCAGATGCTGTGATTTGCAGCAGTTCCGATAGTGGGTTCTCCTGCTCCTGATGTTACAACTTCTGGAGGATGGAGCGAAGACTTGTGCAGCTGTTCCCTGCTACTGTTCAGGAGGACAGGTTTGTCTGTCAATGCTGATGTGATCACCTTCGGAAGAAACAAACGTGTGCAGCCCCCGCTTTGCCACCAATAAAGAACTCGCACAATTTCGGTTTCGCTCCTCGAGTTGCTGCCGCGGCTGGTCTCTGCATGTGCTAAAAAGAAGACGAGTTAGTTTTCTCCGCTTTCTGATTTCTCCCACTCCCCGAAGACGTGGAGTAAAGAATCTGTCTGGAAGCTTACTCTGCATGGGCATGGGCCCGGGAGCCGCTGAAATTTCCCTCACCAAGGATTTTAGGGTCTCAAGCTGGGAATGGCAGCAAGGCTACGAGCAAAAACCCCTCTTGCGTACAGCCCGTGCAGCTGCCGAGGCTCTTACAGTATCCCCCTGGATTGCGGGGCAATGCTGAAGCTCGGCATCACTCCTCGCCCTGAAGGTGGGGCGCCAACCCCGCCAAGGGACCCAGGCTTGCGCCAACATCACCCGCGCAACACGGCACCCCTCCGCGAAACCGTTGCGCGATGATGTTCTAGCTGTCGAGCGAGGAGCTGTTGGCTGCATCCCAGAGTCTGCGAAAGAATGGCCAGGGATGCCAGCGATCGTTCCTCATGACGGCTGTGAGATCTGCAATGCCGTCTTGCTGAGCTGCAGGCCCAGGGGAGTCAGCGCACAACTTGCACGCGGCCTTGGGGCGACTTGATCAAACAACCGCAGGTACCTTGGCCTGTGACTTTGGAAACCCTCAGGTTCCAAACTCCAACAGTGCTGATGTCAAGCAAGCGTCGCCGGTGGGCACAGCACAAACGTGCAGCCCTCCTGGCAGTGACGAGGGAGAGGCTAAATGGGAGGCGTCACAACTCGGCTGCACTTGACTTGACGCCGTCCCCCGACTAGCCCGAACAGTTTGTCTCCCCGACTGAAAAACGAGTATCCCGACAGCTTGCCAAAACAGTGGCCGGTAGCGAATGAAACGCAAGGCAGCAAAACTTCTCTAATCATCTAACCGCAATTTAAGCCTGACCTCCTTGCACAGGGTCGTGAAGTCCAAGCCACCATCGCTCATCACGTAGATTCTTGGCAGACAGGCTAGGCTGACACCGAGCTGCACTTTGTCTGCAAGCCACATGAACACCAGAACACTCTCGATCTGCTGAGATGCATGTGACTTTACCGTGCCACCAACAATGATTAATTACGTACAAGAAAGAAGTGCTCTGATAAGATACTGTTGATAAAACTGCCGTGTGCGTCTTTGGCTAATGCCGCGAGGCAACGGTGAGTCCAAAAAGAACTTTTTCACTTGCCGGACCTGCCACCATGTCTGCATACCCAGTGTTGCATACCTTGCTTTCGCTCACATCGTACAAGGATGGGGCTAGTTGCCTGGTAGATTACAGCAGCTGGATCTGCATAGACGTGCAGGTAGAAGCCATACCTGAGCGCGAGCGTAACATCAAAGCTCACAGCATGATGACGGCTTGCACCCAGCTGCAGTGTGGCCTCAAGGCGCTCCATTCCCCTGATGCAGAGGTTTGCATCGAGTAGTCTCGTGCAGTCTTTGTGAAACGCGATGGTGACATGAAGACTCGTCTGGCAAGCCACTGCGACACAGAAGAGTGCTTGACAAAGAGAGATCCAGCGGACACGTCTTGTGAGCGCGGACTCTGCAATCTCACGACTGACGCGTGTGACACCCAGCCAGCAATTGAATCTAGAAGTCTGTCCACAGTTTATTCGTAACACTGTTGCGGCGTGAAGCTTGCCTTTGTGCAGCCTGCCCCTGGATCTCCAACAGTTGGTCTTCGATAGATGCCAAAGATGTCATGGAAAACGTTGAAAGTGAAGTGGTTTGTCCCCAGTGGCGGGAAGACCGGCGCGAAGAGCGGTGCTCATTATGGTCGTGGCCGGATAAATAATCTTGAAGAACTTGCTCCGCGATAGCAAAAGATTGCTTCAGCGCCAGATCAGTAGCTTTGGACAAAGAGGTTTCCAGAGCAAGCATGGTCTCCCGCAGCGCATTTCTGAGATAACCATCAGATCCAGGCGTCGGGGTAGATTCCAACCCTGCAGAATATGGACCAGGACCCGCATGTCTACGCGCTTCGCCTGCCGAGCATCTTGAAGACCGCCCTGCACTGTCGTGAGGCTGCTCTAGATTTTGGCCGTCGATGGAACCATCCAAGTCAAACAGCTCCGACTCGTCCGGAGCCACCTGCGGGTGTGGCTCGAAACGTTCAGCTGCAGACGCTGCAGCTGGCTTTGCGGAAGAGCCCGGAGAAGCGGACTCGGCTCCACGAGAATCGAGGTCCATACCTCTCAGTGTCTCGGACAACTCCTCGATCCTTTGATTCATGACGGCGAAACCTCAGCCCAAGTACGGCAGCATGTCAGCTTCGGCGACTGCAAGACCCACGGTGGGCCAGTCACTGAATGCCGCTTGCGAGGATTGGGTTGCTGCCACGTGACAGGATTCACACAGCACAGCAACTGCGCAGCAAGTTCTGACACACGGCAGGGTCAGAAGAACCAAGAAGTAGAGGGTACACAGAAGTCGCAGGCAGAACATTCATGCAAATGATTCGGTTCAGGCTGGATTCGTTTTGCAAAACATGCACAACGGAAAACGACAAACGCGTGCCTGAAACACTGGCATATAGCGCAACGACGTTGTTTCCTGCAGGCTGTGGGGTGAACTTTGCATGCGCCGCATATGGCAAAACTTTCGAAGTGCGGCCACTGCAGTCTGGCATTTTCGTTGGGTCTCCTACATGCACCCTTCTTGGGCATAACGTGACGATACGTGACGACATTTACGAAACTTATCAGGCCTTATCCATTCATCGGGAGCTTACCTCGCGTCGCGTCTGTCATGAAGCACGTCTCTGCTCATCGTGCATAATCCGCGGAAGCCCATCGCCCCGATCAGGCACTGAAACCCTATGCTATGCCCAGAGTGCACCCAGAGGCTCCAGCATTCGTGTGCCTGTAAGTCCGCCCCAATTCACCCCTAGCCTCCTACCCTCAGGCTTGAATTCCCAGCCTTACGAGCTTTCAGCTTGGAAGTAATTAATGACCCAACGCTCTCATGGTGACTAGCTGTATAGGATGCAGATCCATATCTCCCGACTCACATCCTGAACAGCACTGGGATGAATGCAAAGGCAGATGTTGAGCATTGAGCGCCACAACAACTTGACAAGCCAGGATATAGCCCGAAGGTGAATCTTGTTGCTGGTGACCAACATTGAAAATGCAAAACGCGGCAAGCACATGGGAAGCCCCACTCACGCAGCATCTTTTGCATGGGCGGCTGCCCGTGCTACGAACAAGCTTCCGAGCGAGAGGACAGGACCTGGCCTTGCCGATGTTTGTCAATCTGGCTTCGACCGTGGCGTCTGCACGAGCGCGCAGCACACGCGACCAGAGCATTCAGTGCTCGCCGTATCGAGGTCGGGCTGCATGCGTCAAGGGATAGAAAAGCCACAAGTACCGACGGCGCTTCTCCACTTCCAATTATCTTGCAGGAACACCGGCTACTAACCCGACAGTGACGCCCAATCAACCGGGGGATGCTTTAAGGTTGCATGGTACTCGTCGTCACCGAAACTAAGCAAGAGTCAAAATGCGTTCTCAGAAGCCGTATTGCGACATCTTTAAAAGCTCCTCCTGCGTCTGCATAGTTTGCCTCAGCTGTTCCGGACTTGTGGGAATATTGTTCAAGCAGCGCGTCACCGGCATCGAGGCTCCACATGGCTAACAAGATCTTGAATCCTGCTGATGCTGAAGCAAAGATGCTGAAGATTGTACTTGATGAAACGCGGTGCAGTCCTCGGGTCCGCCGAACAACAGTGACTCGTCAGCATAGTCAGAAACTTGCACTGACGTAGAGTGATAGAGACAGGCATGCCCAAAGCATCCGCTACGACAGCGCGGTGTCATGCTCAACACAAAAAACCTTCAAACGAAAAGTCTATCTTAATGCAGACATAAGGCTTCGAATCGCGCACCCAACGGCTCAACGGTGCAATGAACTCAGCGGCCTCGATTGCACCTGAACCGTCGGCGTCAATCATCTCAAACAGCTGCTGGAGATCCACCTTGGCCGCTCGAGGATTGCAGGCCGGGCAGCTTTGTCTTCTAAATAATGCGTTGCTATGGTCAAAGAAGCCTTTTGGATTCGTTGGGCCCGCCCGCTCGCCACCCCGCAAAGCTATGCCATGCTGCCTGGACCTGACGGATTTACCTGGCGCCCGTCGTTTCCCGTTGCTGAATCCACGTCATGAAATGACATGAAGGAAGCAGTGGGCCGTGGAAGGGGTGGGTATGTGCTCTCGGCTCCCTGTGTAGCACTGTGAACAGCACTTGAACAACCAGCGCAAGCTCGCAGTGGCGGTGAGCACAAGCTAGCAATGGCACACCAGGATGCCATTTGGTTCGACCTCTCGACATGGCTCGACATGCCGAATTGCCGCAGGTGCGGCACTGCGCCACAACAAGACCGAAAGCAGCGCTCAACGCCTCGGCTCCTGGAGCGATGAGGGGAACACAGGATATGTCGCACCCGCTCTTTGACAGCACCGGCCACGCCTTCTACCAGGGAGGCTCGTGGCTCGACCGGGATGCCCAAACACTCTGTCTGCACTTGGAGGAAAGAGAAGCGAAACAACGACGCAGGAGAAGCAGCAAAGGCACTCATGTTCGAATTTACGCTGGCTGGGAGTGTCTACACCACTGGCAGAGGCGGCAGAGGCAAAGGCCGCACGCGAAAGCTTTTCGACATGCGGGTGAGGGGAACTTGGCAACAAGAACTCCATCGCGGGTGAGGCAAGGGCAGGGGTGAGTGGAGGGATGGGGGATGGGGGAGATCGGGTGCAGCGGCTTTATTGTTTGCATTGTGTGCTTTTAAGCAGGGGGAGCAGATCGTTATTCAAGCTTTGGATCCAAGTGGGAGGCAGCATTCAAGTGGGACGAAGTTCAAAGGTCCGTAAGGCAGCAGCACGTTAGCCGCTCAAGAAGTTGGAAAAGAGTCGGGTGCATGTGTTAACGAAAAGCATGGGAAACGGAGGTGGGGTAGATCTTCATGATTTGGGTGGTGAGATTTGGAAACAATTCTTGAGCCGCACTCTTCCCTGAGAAGGCGGAGCCCAGGGAAATTGCTTTCCAGCAAGCCCCTTAGTGAAGCCGACTATTAGGACCGCACATGAAGTGCTTACTATGAAACCCTCTTCAGAACCATATTAAGGAAGCCCTTCCTGAACATCGGGTGGAAATCATACCAACGGCTTCCCGTTCCATTGTCATATTTCCCGGCAGGGCAAGCGCCGGGGAAGTCTCCCAGTGAGCCCTGCCATATGAAGCTCCTATGGTTGCCGTAGTCAGCCCTCATTAAAGCACTCTGTTGAGCCCTTATTCCAACCATGAACCAAAACCATAAGGATAACCAACAAAAAATGACAACAGTGACAGTACTTGACGGTGAAGCTCCTTCCCAGTCCACAACAACAACGACAACAACAACAACAACAATTTTTTATTGGACGCTGAGCGAGCGGGCTCTGCTCATTGCGGGCGTGTGAGACTGCCTTTGCACCTGAACAAAGGTCTGAGAGCAGAAATGCTAAGGGCCTGGGCCTGAAAGCGCTGAAACAGGCTACCGTGAAGAGAGCTACCCTACAAGCTACCTCAAAAGCCGGTTCATGCGTCTCAGGCGTGGGTGAGAAACCCTCCGTCACCCTCAGTGTGGACTATGGCGTCCCATGTCCACGGACCGATGATTGATGAGCCGTACCCCCTCGGGACCGTCACTCAGAGTGCCTGTTGCGTGGCGTCCCACTCATGGTCACTCTCAATCAAAGGCGATGGGCCGTAAGGTCGCAAAGGTGATGAGCATGTGGAACGGCTGCTAGTGCTGTTATCTGAGGCCGCTCCGCTTTTGTGGGCAAGCAGATTGCATCGGTGAACGATGTGGCACACCCTGGCGGTAAGCACACTGTGCCTAATAAGGCTAACCTTATTCGTAAGAGGCGTACTCCCCTCCAGAGGCCAGGCTTGCCGGCAATGGCTTGGGGGCCTCGGACAACCCCCCATTCTCGAGCCGAGAATGGGGGGTTGCAAAACCTTGATTTTTAGGCCTCGGACAAACCCCCCTTCTCGAGCCGAGAATGGGGGTTTGTAAAGCCGATTTCAGCCATTGGTCAGCTGTGTTGCTGACAGGCGTTGCCTTTCTGGGAAAGCAGCGAGCGTTGCCCGACTAGCATGACAGGTATAGGCCGCTATTGCACACAAACGCTGAGTAGTGGAGCTACGTCAGCTGTACGACTTGAGCAGCAAAACTGAACAACAGCGTTCCTGCTCCCTGCCGTGTAGGCAGGTCGGTCCCACAGAGCCAGTAGGTCGCCCCCTTCCTGCAAGGGGAAGTAGGGGCCCCTGGCCTCAGGGGAACCCTCAGCTTAATCATCTGAAACTTGGACTGGCATAGGGCCAGCCTCCGCTGTGTGCGGTATTGAACCAAGTCGCACGAACAGCACATAGCAGCCGTGGCGTGCCTGCCTGAGATCTGAATCTGAGGCCTGAACCGACGGACGACCATCGTCCGTGCTGAGCCAAGGTTGATCGGGGTTGCTCCTCCAGAGGGAGCGATAATGTCCACTGTGCGGGGTGTCACCTATGTGGAAGATACAGGACTGAACCCATCCTTTCTCTAGTTGTACGGAGCCCGTCGGGGCCCACTGCGAGAGCTGAAGGGGGTGGTGCAGACCAGTGACAGCATAGCTGAGCTTGCGGCCTTCAACAAATCGCGCCACTGTGAGAACCACCAGTCGTTGCTGCCCTCGAAAGGCGGTGTGCACCGGCTGGCCAGACCACCGAGAGAGCAGCTCCTGAAGTGCATGGGATCCACCTGTCGTTGGAGCTGGCAGCAAAGCGAGCGGACCTCCCGCATCGGTGACCTCAGTAGTGTTTACATCCCTGACTTCCCAGGGTCGTGCAATCGGAAAGGCGGTAATGCCTGCAAATAAGGCCACTAGAAACTCCGAAGCATCTTGTTGTTGGCCATCATAGCGCCAAGCGGGAGTAAGATGGCGAAGCGTGAAAGAGGCAGTCAGGGTGAAAGGAGAACCAGAGACAGAATCAGCCACTTCCTGATGGAGGGAGGTGCTTGCCCCTCCGTGCTCCAGCAAGATGCACGTCGGCACCAGGGCCGAAAGCGTTGAGTTAACATAGCAGTAGTTGGAGATGTTGCGCAGCGAGCGAGGAGCAGCGAGCGCGCCGTCCTTTGATTCTACTGTCCCTGACTTCGGTGGCAGGGGGCCTGCAGGCGTTGCCTGGCGAGTCTGGGGCGTTGCTCCAACAGCGGTGGTATCGTCCCGTGTGGGTGCGTTGCCTTGTGTCGTGCCAACCGCTGGCATGTACCTGCGTAACGGTCCGCCCTGGCAGCGGGAAAGTGCATGAACCAAGTCATAAAACAGAATCTGAAAAAGGATCGGACATTGTGCCGGATGCTGCCTCTTATCCGTAACAGGCTTGCGGCAGCACGGGCAAGGCATGCCCTTGACAAGGGTCAGGCCTGATTTGCTGCTCTGAGTTGCAGCTGTAGCGCCATGAGCCGCCCATTCAGGTTTGTGGGCCTGCCGGATGTGAGACTTGAGCTTGGTATTGTCCGGGGTCCAGAACCCACACAGCAAGCAATGTGACATAAGGTCCTGAGACTCATCAGATCGTCCGAGCTCCACAGCCGTGTGTGTTGTCAGAGTGTCATGCAAGCGCTGCTGCCTGGGATGCAATCTGGGCTGATGCTGCGAATCCAAGGGAGGGTGCGCCGCGTCATCCAGCTCCTGTAGCCTAGCTGGCTCCGAGCAGGCACCTGATAGCAAGTGGTCCTTTAAGCCCTTCATCTGAGGGAATTGCCTGTTGCAGGCCGCACACTTGGGGAGCCCTCCTACAGAGAGGGTGTGGGAGAAGCCTCGAGGGACATATCTGATGACCGAGCCTGGATGCTTGCGGGCCTGGTGGGTGCGAAGACCGACCTCAGTGTCGAAGGCCTGAGCACACGTTGGGCACACGAAGGACGGGGGGGCCTCCTGCTGTGATGTGTCCTTAGAAAGTTGCTGCAGAACGTCTGCATAACTAGTAGAGAGTGCCTCCGCCTGGAGAAGCGCGCGCTGGGTTAAAGAGATGTCCCCCGCAGGAGTTTTCCGCCGTCGAGCACCTAAGCGCTTGACACGATTGGCCTGTCGCGCCTGCAGCTTACGGACAGGGTCCATGATCTCATGGGAGGCGTAGAGGTCAGCCGTGGATATGTGTGTCAGGTGCGCTGGCTTGTTCAGGACAGCTCGAATTTTGCGAGCGTGCCAAGCCCGCAACAGTTTAGCTGTCTCTAGGGTCAAGCCCACATCCACCAATCCAGAGGCTACTGTGGCCCAGACAGTGCTATGCCAAATGTGCAACCGCGATGCAGGCCCCGCCGTTCGTCTGTTGTGAACGAAGCGGCGTACCTGCTGCAATTTCACATTGCCCTCCTGCAACCGGAACTTGAGAGTAGCCTTCTCGAAGTTGGAGTAGGAGAGCATGACGCCGAGATACTTAAAGGACGTCACCAGCGGAAAGCCCTCGTGAGACTTGGACTCTCCCAGTCTCCACATCTTATGGCGGGTTCCGTCAGGCGCGGTGCGCCAATAAGTGTGCTTGGAGATGGCGCGTTGCGCCTGTTGGCCCTCGAGTTTGACCATAACAGTGCATTTTGCACCGTTGACAGCAAATCCATGGCGACGGACCAACTGCAACAATTGCTCAATCAGAGCATGAGCGCGATCCAGGTCCTCCATTGAGTGGATGTCACGGTGAACCGTAAGGTCATCTGCGTAGCCCGTGAGGTAGTCCACCACGGCTCGAACCCCAACAAGAGCTATGAGCTCCCGGAAGATGGTGCCCGTAAGCATGGAAAAAAGTGTGGGGGCAAGCTTACACCCCTGTTTAATGCCCGCAGTGGACTGGACCGTGTCCTCTTCACCCTGGGTGCGAAACGTGTAAGCACTGCCAGCATGCAATGAGGCAACTAGGTCAATGAGGTCTTGCGGGACTCCCGCTTCCTGCAGTGTGCTAAGCAAGTCTGTTCTGCTCACCATGTCAAAGGCTTGTGACAAGTCTAGTGCAAAGCAGATGCCACCTACTAGCTGGGGACGAGTTCGTCCCGAGTGAAGCTGATGCCTGGTTCGTCGGGCCTCCTGGCAGTTATTGCGTACCTGAGTGACATGACCAACGACCCTGCTCAAGGCATCTGAAAGACCGCGATGTGGCTGGTAGGCAAATTGTGGGAGACCCCGAAGATAGTCAGCCGTGTAGGGAGACAGCTGATCTCTACAAGCCCCCGCCAGGCCCTTGCCGTCTGGTCGAATGATGCCGAGGGGACGTAGATTGCCAGGCTTCGTGGCCGGCTTGTTAGGCTTTGGGATAAAACACAAGTCAGCATCCTTTAAGGGCGGCTGAAGTACCTCAGCAGCCGGCAATGGGCGTTGCCCCCGAGATTGCAGCGATGCTGCTAGCGCCTCTCCCGCAGCCGCCGAGCAGAGCCGCCAGGCAGCCGCCGGAGCAGAGCCTTGCGGTACCGCCTTGTGCGGTCTGATGGAGCCTATGTGCTTGGCCAGCAGACCAGCCGGGATTTCCGGCAGCGAGTCCACCTGGTGTGCGAGTGGCGGATGTCTGGCAAAGACCTGTTCCACGTGGTCTCTAAGCAGGCGGAGCTCAGAGGTAGAGTCCAACAGCAGACCATCCGGTCCCTGAAGCTGTGCCTTAGTTTGGGGTTCCCAAGGTCGGAGCTTCTTTAAGGTCTTATGTGCGATGTAGGAATCGTGTCTGGCACACGCCTCATCGACCTCAGCCTGGAAAGCTCGGTGTCGTTCCTTCTTGGCTAAGTAGAGAGCCTGCTTATGCCATCGATTCAGGTCCTCCAAAGACTGATCTAGGTCGGATAAGGTGGTTATGGAGTCCTCATGCAAAGAACGAATATGAGCGACTCGACTCCACATTCGCAGCGTCGCACGGTGCTGAGCAGTTTCAGGAGCTTGCTGAGGCCGTGGTTTGGGGAAAAACAGTGCAGAGGCCTCCAGCAGTACCTGATTAACTTCATCAGGCGTGTGAGTCCGAGAGGACAGACGCTGGCCCACCCAGTCTTGCATGCGACCGGCTATTGGCAGACCTGAACGGACAGCCGTCTCTAGAGCTTCCTTATGAAAGGTCGTGGAAGGACAAGTAGGCTTTGGCAGATTCCAGTGCTGGGTGGGTCTGAGTTGAGCCAAGACTGGAAGGTGGCCGCCCCTCTTCCATTTGCCGAGCTGAAGATCCTTGCACGGCCGAGACTGCTTTGCCAGGCCCTTGGCCGAGGCTTCTGAAGTGAGCAGGAAGTCAATTTGTGATCCCTGACCATTCAGGAAGAAAGTGTGACCTGCACCACTAGACCATGTGTTAAGAGCTACCAACCGATGGGAGGAGACTAAGGCTTGGAACGATTCATCCTGCATCTGAGTTTGCTCTGGCTTGGTGCTACACTGACCTACCAGACCCTCCTGCGGGGTCAGTCGAGCATTAAAGTCTCCTGCCAAGAGAAAAGTATCTCGCGCTGGAATGGCCCGTATCGCAGCCGACAGATCGCGGAGCAGGTGTGAGCGGTCATCCTTGTTCTGCTGTGGAGTCTTCTTAGAAGACCAGGCATGTTGGTAAACCGCTAGTACATGCACACGAGCCCCAAGCCACGGGAAGATGACCTGAATGAGCCTTCCCCGGCGTTGCTCGCGCCATCTTATCTTCTGCTTGTCTATCTGCGGAGAGAGAAGAACCATGACGCCGTCCGCTCGGCTTGTGTCGTGAACAGCCGGCTGCGTGGCAGCGCCTTGCTTGGGGCGTTGCCCTGAAGTGGCTTTACCTTTAGGTGCTCGAGCAGCCCCTTTTGTGGCGGAGCTTACGCAGTGCCAGCCTTCGACATCAAATTCTGCTGTCTCACTCCAGTGGGTTTCCTGAAGGACAAGAATGTCACAGACTGACTTGGCCTCCGTGCGAAGCCATGTCTTCACTTCTGCCCATTGTTGCATGCCAAGGTGCCCTGCATTCCAGGAAAGAACACGAAGAGACTTGCTGGCACGACCGCCTCTCGGGCGCGAGCGGAAACTGGCGGAGAAACCTGAGGGACCTGAAGGAGAAATCGTGGAGCTAGGCTGCACTGGGAGGGGGGGAGGGGAGGGGGGGGTGAGTCCACTGCGACGCAGATGTTCAGGCGTCAACGTACCATTCCGGTACGGGATGCTTTCTTGTGTTCTATGAACCTTATTGCAAGCCTTGCGAAAGGCCTTCTTGCGAATGCTCTCAAATGAATGCTGGTGCATTGGCGAGAGAGAACTCGAACCGACTCCTTTCACCCTGCGGAAAAGGTGAAAACCACTACCGCTTACCTCATGCCAAGGTTGTATAACTGCAGACAGAGGTCCGGGAATTGGGACCCGGTAGATCACAGCGACACGCGGCTCCGGGAACAGCTATGGCTCAGTAAGAGGACGGTCCCTTAAGCTTCGCAGAAGGGGCACGTTGCGAGCCTCTAGCGTTGGTACCCAGAGCCTTGTTAGCAAAGCTACACAGCCTGCTGTGATCCATAGCGGCTACAACAACAACAACAACCACAACCACAACCACAACAACAAGGTACACCCGTACACTGCGTACCCATTACACCCCCCCCCCCCCGCCAACAACAACAACAATCGCAACCGCCGCAACCGCAACCGCCACCGCCACCTACTGCTACCGCTACCGCAACCACCACCACCACCACCACCACCAAAACCACCACAACGATAGCGATGACGGTAATGATAACGATAGTCATAATAAAAACAAGAAGAATACCAGAGGTTGCGACTGATATGCTAGTCTTGCTTATTTTGTTGTTGTTCTTACATACTGATGGTATTGCTACTATTCTAGGATGGCTTCACATTCCCTCATTCTTAAATTGATTACGGATGGTTATCATTCTGACTTTGCTGATGAATTGCCGGATTTGTCGGCAGACAGACAGACAGACAGACGGTCTGTATTTGCCCCCCACCCCCTTCCACCGGTTGTTTCCATGATTTCTTCGTGTGCGCTTGGCAAAGACAAGGACCTCGTCAATGTCCATCACACGCAGGCGGCTCTGGAACTCTGCGTCTTTTCCTTACATTTTTGGACGTGCAGCTCTCCCCATCCCTGCTGCATGCGTGAACCAGGAATGTGCGGAATGCACAGGGCAGCTTACTCCAGCCGTCTTCCGTCTTTCAATGATGTTGAATGCTGCAACACATCTGGAATCAGTACCAAGCAGCTAGCTCCATCCATCAAGTTCTGCAACCTGCAAAGCTGAGCCATGCTGACAACCGAAACTGTCAGCAGCCTGAGGATGGCTTGATACATTACATTTCTATTGTCGAGCCAAGCTTCGTAAGCTCTCCTGTCCCACTCTCGTCCAAGCGATCGAAAATCTTCTGCAAGTACTTGCGGTCGTTCTTGAGACTGTGCTCCAACCTGAAGCTACAAGCTGGATTCAAATGCAGCAGGAATGGAATAGCTAGTCTCTAGACGCCCCTGGCGGGCCTTGACTGAAGTCTGTCAGGCCCGTCAAGTCATTCCCTTCCTCGCATAGCCTCGACATGCCCTGACCCTTAGAACCCATTGCAAGCACCACCTGAGGCAAATGTCATTGATTCGTGCCCTTCCGCTCGCTTCATCATACACTGGACAGCTCCCTTTGGACTGTTGAGAACCACAACCTCTACATGTCATGCTCTCCAGGACACCTGCAGCAGCTACAGCACATGCTGCACATCTTGCACCCTGGTGCAAGCAAAACTACGCGAGCGAGGACTGCAAACAGACTGTCTTCCCGACCTCCCACTCAGATACACACCAGCAAGACTGCACGAAACTGCCAACTGGCCGCTTATGGCGGCCGCCATGTAAAGTCATTCTGGTAGTATGAACTTGAAATGTCTGAGGCACTGTAGATGCACCGTACCGTTAGGTTTGTGTTTTGCAGTAGTTCCGAGGTATTATGGATGGATTGAAATTGTGTAGAGTGTAGAGCTATCCTTGGTTGGACTCACAACGAGGACAACCCACCATGTGCAACCGCCGAACGGAGTTGAGTGAGATTGCAGTGCGGCATGGTTTCATGAGGAGCGTATTCGGAAGCACCGGCTGTCACTATGCGTGCATCCAGACATGCATCGGTAAGATAGCTTGGAGAGAAAGAACATCAAAGCAAACCTACTGACTGACCACAACAAACATCGAATCAAATCTGTGTACTAGTTTGTATTCATGTGGCTCCTAAGCTCCACCAGAGCTAGGGCCAGCCGCATGGTGCCAAAAAAGGCAAATGTTTGACCTTGACGCCTCTGAGTTTCTCACACTGCAATTTCGAATTTCATTTGCACTGCATCCACGCAAGTGCGGCACTTCTGAATGCCGGGAACCTCGTATAGCACATGCTCTTCCGAAAGCGGCCACTGCAGGGAATCATGCTGCTTCTGCTGCTTCCCGACCGAACACAAAGCGTGGCGAGACTCCGTTTTAGCATGTACGAGCTCTCCGTCGAATGTCTCTTCGTGTGCCACGAAGTTGTAGACTCGGAGAGAGCATAGGACAACATGCTCCAGCACTCGAAAACGATCACAAACAGGCTTCCATGAATTCCCGCTGCAGCATAAACCACCCGACCATCCCGTGACACTAACACTAAGTGACAAGGTGCGATCTCACATTCGTGCAAGTGGACACAGCTCCATAATTTTGGGCTTGCACGCGAATTCCTTCCGCAGACTACTTGTGGTGCCTATGTGTGTGCTTGTGTGTTGGTGTTGATTGTTCCGCCGATGTGCGATCGAGGAGATGGGTGGGAGAAAGACAAGGGTGGCACAGGCGCGAGATATTGCCTGTGAACAAATACAAATGTCTACGGTTTGATGTCAGCAACCTTCGGATCCTTCGAACAAGTCCGCATCTGCATCCTCAGGTTTTGGAATCGGAGCGGGATTTTTTCTGTGATCCGAGCATCATTGCGAACGCACAGCTTCTTTGTGAGCAAAGCCGTATTTATTCGTGTTGTGATGATGCAGTGCAGTCTGACCAGTCCTGTTTAGGCAAGGTTAGGATTCTGGTTCAGGCCGAGTGGCTCAGCTGCCAAGTTTACAACGTCGTTCTCGCGAACCTCGGCAAAGGTGTCCACCACCTTGGATTTCAGCGAGTGCATCTCTGGTCTTTGGGCTCTGCCGCAATCAATCGATGCTGCAACGCGGAATAGACCCCACACCCCCGCACAGCATCCGACACTCGGTATGTCTATCTGCCAAGGTAAAGAGCCTACACAGATGACAGTCTCGACTCGCAGCACCAACAAGCGAGCCAGCCATAATACTGCAGATTAATTCATGGGTTCGTGCTTGTGAGCAACCACCTGGTGTACTGCAACCGTCAAGCCCGAGCCGGCACTTTTGATGCATGCCAGGTGTCAACGGCAACCATGAGCTGCAGCACTCCAAAGACCTGGACAGCACAGCGAAATTGAAGACTGGCGATTCCGTTGACTGTTCCAAACAATTTCGTCGGGAGTCTTGTTTCCAAACTTAACCAACCCAAGCCTCACATGACTTGGACGTGGACAAGTCTCGCTTTCCTTGCAGGCAAGCATCCAGAGTAAGGAGGGAACCCACGAAAATGACGGCTGTCGCTGGGTGGTCCTGTCATGCAACTGGAACATCAAACTAACTGCGTCTAAAACTAAGAATTTGCAAAATCAGGCAGAAAACTGCACACATGCAGTTAATTAAGCGTTTGAAGGGGCTTCCGACCTGTATGACAGGTATCGCGATCAAACCCCAGCTGTCTCCCGCCACCACCGTCTTGAATAGCAACCTAGGCATGGCTATTGTTTTGCTGCGGCGGGATACATCACTACGGGTGCACTAGGCGCATCATGTCCGATTGGCTTTTGCCACCAAGCATCAGGTTGGCGTTCATGACAGAAGATGCTGCTTGCAAGCACTGCCGGCCGCAATCACCAAAGACGTTCGTTCGCTCTTGAACGTCGTGGATGAGCGGATGGACGATCTCAACCATCAACATGGCCCACATCGTCATGACGACGAAACCAAACAGGAAGCTCCAAACCAAAGTTTTCAGGCATGTTGCCAACATGGTCACCTGCTCAAGGCCCTTTCCAGCGCTGTGTCATGTGTGGAGGAAAGTTGTGCGAACGCAGCTTTGCGCGCTCACGCAGTGGCGCATCACCGGTTGCTGCAAAACGTCCGAGGCTGCTGTGAACCGGATGAACAGTGTGCAGGACTAATTCAGGAACGACAGAAACCGCTCATCAAAAAATAATGAATCCCCGAATGCATCTTTGCAACTGCTTACAAATCGGTGGCGAAGTCTGTGATTTGATTTCTTCGACGTTTCTCTCTCATGTGATGTTTTTAGCGCTCGCACTCGAGAAACCCAGGCGAGGTTTGAAACGTTACTGTCAATCCCATCTGAGACGTTGTTTGGACACGCGCGTTGGCCTGAGTTCAAAGGCTCCCCAACTTCACCACGGCAAACAATTACAGTCGTTCACCACCATCAGCATTCACACGGGCTGCGCTCAGCCTCCGGTCCGTCCCATTCACTAGTTATCAGTTTCTTCAGCAATGCATATCAGGTTGGCGTTCATGACAGAAGATGCTGCTTGCAAGCACTGCCGGCCGCAATCACCAAAGACGTTCGTTCGCTCTTGAACGTCGTGGATGAGCGGATGGACGATCTCAACCATCAACATGGCCCACATCGTCATGAGTATGTCGGTTGTTCGGCTGCAGTTGGGTTCTGCCAGGCTGCATCCCTTGGTGTGCCTCACATCTTGCCAGCTGGGCGCCGGCATTGTGCTGGCTTCTTCGGCTTCAACCATGCTTGGCGCAATCGGAAACCCTTTGGGCGGAAAACAGTACGTATCAACTTGCCGCGGGCTGCATGTCTCAGGGCCCAACAGTCCTCGACTGTCAGCGACATTGCTTCGAGCACTTGCAGATCGTGCTTGTGCCTTGGCCATCCAAACCGCGCCTGAACAGAATCACTAGGAGCGCCCTTCGTTCTTCTCTTACGTGCAGAAAACATGAGCTTGGTCCGCAGGCTGAAAAGAGCAATATGGGCATCTGGTAAAATTCGCACTGACGTCTGGCCGCTTGCCAAAAGCGGCAGGGCTCACAAAAGAGCCCGTGAGGACCGCAGCAGCAGCTCCCTCCGTGTGGCAGAGAAGGCTACGCACCAAGCTAACCCTTGCCGAATCGTAGGGCGTGCGGCGAAACGGAATAGCATCCCGTCGCGAAGAAGCTGTGAACAAACACCACTCCTTGTGTCTCCAAGCTTCCCTGCAAAAATGTGCAATCTTTTGGCGCCCAGGCAGTTGAGCACCAAGACTTAGCTTCCAAGAGAAGCCAAGTTGAGAGTGGCTCCACGTGTCTCGTCGAAGCTGCCATCCTGTCTGCAGAAGAAAGGAGACAGCTTGTTCACGAAGCTTGCTGTGCCTATGACGGGCAGCACTCCAAGTTTCCTGCGCAACACTCTTGAGCCAGAGACACACTTGTCGCACGCCCACGACAGGGCGAAGGCAGCGAGCCGCTCCAGTCAGAACGTTGTGCAGGTGAGCAGACCCTTCCCTGAAGGACTCACTTGTCGCACGCATTGCTTGGTCCAAGACCTTGGCGTGAAAATCAGAAGGAGAGAAGGCAACCCAACCGTAGACTGCCTTGCTGACTCCCATAATACGAGCTGTATCCATCTTTGCCTGGTGCCCCAAAGGGAGCAAGCGGATGCGGTCGCAGATTTGCTTGGCATCGGCCAGTCGCTGGAGCTTACTGGGCTGAGCATCCCTTTCACCGGCCCCTGTGGTGCAGCAGCCCAAGACCACCGCCGAGGCTGTAACAGCCTGCGACAACAGAGGGTCGTCGGCCCACTCATGCTGCAACTCTCTGTGGTGCTCAGCATCTTTGTAAGTGATCTGAGTCTTGGTCTCATTCTCACGAAGGCCAGCTTGACTGAAATCATGCCATGTGCGCAGTGTTCGTAGTAAAACTGATGCTTGCTTGGCCGTCGATGAGCGATCATCCATGTAGACAACATGCAATCTGTCACCGGGCTGAACAGGACACCGTGCCTCCGTGAAGTTGAAACCCGACAGCATGAGGATGTTGAGGGCTAAAGGAGAAAGTGCGTCTCCCTGAGGGACAGACATGTCCGTTTCCAGCAGCTTGGGCGAGGAGCTGGCCCTCCACTGCAAGATACGCCTCTGGTGTGACCATTGATCCAAAGGGGTGTTCGCCAGCTGCGTTGGCAAACCCATGTGAGCCATGGCACGGGTGATGGCTTCCGGAACCACATGATCAAAAGCCAGTGTGTAGTCTAAAGTTGCGAGAAAACCTTGCTCGGAAAACGAATCCTGCAACTTGGCCGCTAACTGTTCTGAACCTGGGCTGCCGATGCCACCAGTGATTGCATCAGGCATAATACGGCTCCGCCACTCTCTAACGACCTGACTTTTGGCCCAGGCACCACTCCACCAACGGTACCAAAGCGAGTACACGTTGATCGGGCGAAGATCTGCACTCTTTGTGCTGCCATCTTGCATTTTGTGCGGTTTCACCAAGTTGACTTGGCGGCTGTATTTGAGCGCTGAAGGCGTGCAGCCTGCAACTTCCCAGGTCTCTGTGACGGTAGCAAAAAGGTCCGCCACCCCGGAGGGAAGCACTTGTAGCTCAGAGAGAAGCCAGTCGTCAGGACCCGCTGAACCACCAAGTTGCTGCCAAGCTTCCAGAAAATCCGACGAGCTAGGCCTGCCATGCAAAGGTTCGTGCTGAGGCAAATGGTCCAGGACGATCGCGATCTTTGGTTCGACGGGCTCCTGCTTGCAGGATTTCCAAACGCTTTGCCAGTGCGCAGCCAAGGCGTCCAGAACCTCTTGGTCCTTGTTGAGCTGCTGCCCGTTGTGCATGACAGTCGGTCTGAGCTGGGAGTCGCGTCCCAGCCACTTGCATCTGGCCTTCAAATCGTGCTGCATGCTATGCCGCCATTGGGAAATTTGCTGCTGTTTAGCTGTTGCTTCATCTTGGGCTTGCTGCGCTTCGGCGGCTTTTATCTCCGCCTCCAGCTCGTCCTTGAAAGAAAGACGGGCCAGTCGCGAAGGTACACGGCGCCGAAGCCGGCGGCAAAGTCTTTGCATCTCAATGCCTTGATTGTTGGAAAGGATCTCCTTCTGCAAAAGCTCGACCAGCCGAAGAGCCGTAGACAGCCAGTTGCTTCTTTTGCGCTGTGCCATTGTGCCGGCGTCCCTGCGATGACGGACAGGGATCCAATGCAGGGCGGGCTCCAATGGTTTAGGTGCCGAATTCGAGGCTCTCCTTTGCCAACTGTCGAGGGCCTGGGCAGTGTCGGGATTGTAAGGTCGCTGAAAAGTCCTCGTGGCGAGGCCAAAGAACTGGTGCAGCCAGTTGTTCCAAGTCTCCCAAACCCTGTCAACGGAGTGCTGGTTCGGACTGGACAAAGCCTGTAAAACAGAGTCCTCGATGACACTCTTGTCGTATAGTGGGTCCAAGTAGCGGAGAGGTGGTCACGCCACTGTGATGTGGTAGCACCCGGTGGAGTAGTCCAAGAATGACCACGCTTCCGGACACACCTCCGGATTTCGCGCTCCCAACGAAGAGAGGTAGAAACCGAGAGCCACTTGTGATCGCTGATCTTGAAGGGCAGAGTTTTGGCGCTGCTGACTGTCTCTGCCACATTGCTCCAGATCTCCAGATGTGGTCGATGTAGCGCGTGCTGTTGTAGCGGGTCTCCTTATAGACGAGGCTGCCACCGTGCAACTCGAAGACCGCCTCCATTTGAGCTGGTAAAACGTTGTAGTCGCCGACCGCCACCCAAGGACGTCCACCAGCGGACGCTCTAGCATCTTGAAGGAGTTCTCCCAGAGTTTGACGTGCCTCATGCTGTATGTGTGAACGGGGCGGCATGTAGGAATTGATAACTAAAAGAGACGTGAGTTCCACAATGACGTGCTGATGTGGGTGACCGGCATACCTCGTCACCAGTTTGTGCGGTATCGTAGCAAGAATTGCTGTAATGCAGCCACCCGTCGCCTTCTTACCGTTCTCGCCTTCCGCAAAGTACGCCTTGTAGCCCAAGCTTTGAAACTTGGAGAGCACGGTTTTAAACTCCGAGAGTTGCACGCATGGCTCTTGTACGCAAACGATGTCCGCAATGTTTGGTTCGCCCTCCAGAAGCTTCAGCAAGCGCCACAAGCCTGGCGCGTCGCGAACGTTCACTGAAGTCAAAGTCGCAGAAGAGCACGAAGTGGTAGAAGCTGTGCCTTTTCCCCCTCCACCAGGGTCTGGATCGTCGTCGTCTTCGCCGCCGTCCTCGCTGTCGTCGGTGAGCGTAGAAGCACCTCCCTTCGGCTTGGTCCCTGTTGACTGAGGCCCAGGATGCGGTTCCACCCCTTCCTGCACGAGGCGAGAAAAGCGCGAGTCCGCTTCGGCCTTGGTGGTGCCCCAGCACTTGAGGAGTGTGTTGGTGTTGTCAGTGTACTTGCTGATCTCTTTCCACCTTAATCTCGCACGAGGACAGGGCAAAGAGGACGGGCCGAGGCACTTTTTCCAATTCTTCTTGTTGTAGTTGCCGATGATCCAACACTTTGTGCATGTGAACTGCGTGGCGCGCCTGCTCGCTTGGTAGGCCTTGGCCATTCAGCCCAAACAAGCTGGAAAGGGACCATGGTATGGCCTCCAAGCTTAAGATTGCGCTTGCGGCCCGCCTTGTTCTTGGCGGCGCTTTTCTTGTAGCCCTCAACGTAGTTGGGGCACTTGGAGCGGTCCCTCTTGAAAATTCTCTGCCTCGCCTTTTGTATGGCACCGTTACTGGTGTTCCTGCGCGAATGCTTGGTGTCGTAGTGGTGCCGCACATTCTTTTGCTTCTGATGGTAGTTGGCGAACTTTGGTAGCCACTTGTGGCAGAATGGGCATTCCCAGTCTCTATCCTCCGTCGGTACATCAAGGCTTGCTTCCACGATCGCCGTGCGGTTGATGAGCGTGCCCCTGTCCTTCAGGGGAATGTCTTTGTGCCTGAACATCATATGCGAAGACCTTTTGCTGGAAACCGATCTAATGCTGGCGCCAGTG